TAATCTACAGTTGGAGATGGGTCGCGTCTATAACTAGCTGTTTTATGAGAAAAATACTTGTTTCGAGATGGTTTCAAGATCTCTGTGTTTTCTGCTAATGAAGCAATTACTTTAGGACCATTTATATTGTACATATTTATGAGGGATTTTCGTTCATTTATCCTTATATTCGTAAATCTCGAAAAGTTATCGGCCCATTGACTTGAAATTTGGTCTACCGATAATTGACCTATTCGGAAAAATTATACTTATAGATCGATTAGCTTAGATTAACAGGAAGATTATTCTTCCCTTCTGCAAGTGGATCAAGAACTGACTTTTTCGGAAAAATTTTATTTAAAATATTCAGTACGTCAATGGCTCTTTGCTCAGATTAGCAGGAAGACTATTATTTTCTGCGGGAAGTGGATCGATTTACTTGAAATGCGGTACATATGTTAGCAAGTGGACCAAAGACTGATTTTTTTGGACCTGAGACTGACCCAGGCGGAAAAGTAGTACTCATGCTTCAGTTCTAATTGATACGCCCAAATGGCATACTTTTGTTTCCTGAAAATGGACCAGAGATCTGGAAATTAGCTCGATTTACTCGAAATATAAATAATAATATTTTTACGGGCAAGGAATTACTGAGATTAACAAAAGTTAGTCTGAGTTGGATATAAATAAGCTATACTTATACGTTCAACAGAGGGTGAATAAGACTAGATCGGAATGGGACACACTTATGACTTTTTCATGAGAGGCTTTGAGCAAGCGAAGAAGAGAGCCACACCTACGAATAGTCAGTTAGATCAATAATATAATAGAAAAACTTAATACTTTAGCTTAGATGATGCTTAATTAGGCGTTTTTTTTTGTACTTTGTCATACCAATTGGACGAAAAATTGAATAAAATACAGAAAGACACCGTAATGTGGGGTCATATAGAAAAATTGTGTGTCGTGCTATCATTTATATAGTTTATGCAAGATATTTTAACAAAATTTTAGGCTTACATTCTCTCCACGTACTATAAAAGCTCACAAAATATGTCAACTTGACGGTCTTTTGCCGCTGTCTCTCCATCAAAAATGATTTGTAGCATCGTGCAATATTTTATAAAATAAATGTAAAAAAAGTTAAAAAATCATTTAAGTTGTTACAAATTGAAATAATATTAATTTTGTGTACTTGAATGCGAAACAGAAGAAAAGAGCGATAAAATATTTGAAAAAAAAACTCATTCTATTATTATCGCACTTTTTAAATTATTTATGATTTATAACTTTATATTACCTTACTCTTGTCACCACTGCTGATAAAGGCTGATATTGAATGGAGTTACGCTGCGGCAACGGTTTATCAGTTAAAATTTTTGTTCAAAAAGTCAAAGCAAACAAAAAGTAAGAAATAATAAATTAAATTCTAACAACCAATTTTCCATAACGAACGAGTGACTCTCGTCTGTCAGACCGTCAGCACTACGATTGTGTATGTACCTTTGCTCGTGTTTTTTTTTATTTTATTTTTTTTTTTTTGTACAAATAATTAGTACAAAAAATTCCAACAACACAGTTAAATTGCAGCGAACACGTTTCTCAGCTGCGTGACTGGCATCTAAATAATTAAAAAAAAAAAAATTAATTCTCAAAAGCTGTATTTGAAGGGTTTAGTCATATTATTTATTATTAACAATAAAAAGGCAAAAAAAAAAAAAAAATTTTATGAGTGCCATAGATTTGTTAATGTGTTGAAGAAAGCTAATAAATATTCTTTTCTTTTTCTTTTTTTGCGACCATTTTTAATCGATATTATTAATGAAGCTTTGAAGAGGCACGTCAAATTTATTAGAACTTCCGCAAAGTAGAAAAAGAAAACAAAAAAACGCAGCAATGGAAGTTCTCACTTTCTAAATTTTAATGTTGAGTTTTTTATATGTCACTAGCAGATCCGGACACACCTTGTTGGGGCTTTCTGTATTTTGTCCAATTTTTATGCCAATAACGATGAAAGCCCCTACCTAAGCATAATCTAAGTTAAAATAACGGTTTTTTATTATATTATTGATCTAACTACTCATTTATGTGTAGGTCACTTCTTTGCTGCTCAAAGTCTTTCATGAATATGGCAACTTGAATGCCTCGAAGTAAGCCAAACACACCATTCGGATCTATGTTTTTTCACACTCGATTTGAATGTAACCAGAACATGCCTACGCCAATCTCTACTTTCCGCCAGATCACAGAAATTTTGTCAATCTTTCGGTGCTCCATTTTCCGTGAAGAAAGTATTATTTCCACCATCGAGCAAATCAAACAAGTTTCCAGGTCTCTCGTGCATTTCCAGTCAAAATTTCAAGTCAATAAGACGTTAACTTTTCGAGATGTACGCATCTTTACAGATTTACGCGTCAGATTTTTATATATGTATGCGGATAGCGTCGATTAGGCGGCTTCTTAGTAATACGTACTACCCACCAGTGCGACCAGTATGTACCTCCTCCTCCGAGAGTATTTCAGACGTGCCAAAAACGCCTTCTCATAAAGGTACGTTTAAAATAAACTGTAGCTCCCTCGATTTGTTGGAGGAGCCTGGATCGAAAATCGATTCATACATTAGTAGATTATAATCTATATGAGATGTTGTGAAGCAGCTGCTTATTCCTTACTTATTTTTTGAATATCTAAAGCACCGTGGTACACCAAACATTAAAGCATAAATGCTCTGAAATGACCGGTTTGAAGTTTCAATTTAATTTGGCTGCAGAAAATCCCCTCTCTCTGTTCTCTCTAGTTCTCTGCCAACCCAAATATTTGGTTTCGTAACAGATTATGTTCTATTTTATTATTATAGGAACTTTTTTGGGTTACCCTACTGACAGATCAGATTTTAATAAGAAAATAAGAGAAAGCTCTGTCTGAATGCTATTTTTAAAAACTGAAGGAAAAATTCTCGAAAAAGGCGAATTTTTGAATTCCATCCGAGAAACTCCATTTAATCTGCCCTTGTAGGAAATGGACCTTTGGCCCAACATAAGATCGAATTAGTTTCTAAGCATTCAGCTTAGTTTGCCACCTATAAAAATTGTGCTCATATTTTTTATATTTCATACGACTCAAATTCTCTAGAGCCACATCTGAGATCATATATTAAATCATCTCAAGTTACCTGATTATTTTATCAACCATTTGGGAAAATCTTTTGTTCTAAATGGTCTCGAAAATATTATATGATGAGCAGTTGTTGGATAACTTTTTTTTGCTTTCAAATCAATTTAAAAAAAATCATTTTATATATAAACATTTTATGTTTCTAAGTTACCCCAGAAGCTATTCAAACCCTTTAACAAAGTTATGATTTTTCTTTTGATTTAATTACTTTCGCACGGGACACGTCGCAAAGTAATGTTTCCATTACTACTTTTACATATAAATATGGCTTTAGAGGGAATGTATGAAAATTCTTTATAGTTATGGGTATTTTTTACGACCAAACAATATTATAGTTAATTTTGCTAAGTATTTTTTTTTTTCGTGTCAAGTTAATTAAAAAACAAGACAATTGCAAGGGCTAAAAGAAAATACATTTATTATTAAGATAGACTGTTTCAAAGGTTAATTTTAGATATAGAATTTAATTTTAAACAATTTTTCAAGAAACTTAGAATTTCATTTCATTTCAGTGAAGCCTGAAGTAATATTTTGAAGCTGTTGATACTTCACTTCATTGGACATTTAGTAGTGGGTTTTACATTACTCTATATATATAGGGTTATTATAAAAATTCTTTCTCAGATATTTGCGACTTTTCACGCTTTGTTGCACGGGACATGTTGCAGGCAATATTGTTTTCATAATGACTTTTCTCGGACTTGTTTGTTTAAATAAGGTTTTAGAAGTACTTTAAGGGAAGAGTAATATTTCACACTGATGGCATATAAAAATATCTTTTTTTCTTTAAAAATTTAATTGAATTTTATTCACTGTCGTACGGGACAATGTTTCAAAAATGTTTTCCTGTCACATTTTAAGCAAATAAGCGTTCTGAAATATCTTTTATCAGAACTATGCGATCTTTTATATTGAAATGTGTGGTAATATTGATTTTGGAGAATCAAGTTATTACCAAAAAAAAAAAAATTACATTCGCACGGGACGAAAAAGAGAAGTGTTCATTTGTATCAACATATTGATGCAGGCTTAAGGAGATTAAGATTTCAAATTATTGGTATTCAAAAATTGTGAAATGTTTGAATTAAACAATTATTTATGCCTTGTGTGGTAAATTTGATGTTATGCATTGTTCCACGGGACATCTCTCTTAAACTATTTCTTTCCAAATAATTTTTGCAATTAGTTATAAAGTGAATAGTGAACTCTATTATTCAAAAAGAAAAATCCATTAATTTTCAAAGAATTTAATTTTTTTTTAATTTTCAACAAAAAATCTCAATTCGTTTCTGAACCGGAGTGGCATTTGAGTTTTTGAATTTATTTTTATTAAGAATAAAAAAATAAAATGAAATATAAAACTTACTTCTTATATAAAATTTATATTTGGTTTTTATAGGCATCCTTGGTGAATCAGTATTCGATTGTGAGTTTCTGCACACGGTGGTGTATTCTTCTACATTTTGTACTACTAAAAAAATGGCGACCTATTTTTTCTTTTTTTTTTCAAATCAAATAATCTTATCTAGACTCTAGTGATAACCAAAACGGCAACAAAAAGAAAACTTGATAAAGAATTGTGAACTTAAATAAAATCAATAAAATACTTTTAATAGATTTAAATCAACATATTTGCTAAATAAACAAGAAAATTAAATTTAGTGCCAGCTTGGAAGGCGCACGAGAAGCACGGCCGCAATTTTTTTTTTTCGAATATATCAACTAATTCTCTAGAAAAGTTATTAATTTTTAATGAAAGTAAAATACAAAATAATAATTGAAAAAATTAACAAATAAATTGAAAAAGTAAAGCAAAAATTAAAAAAAAAAATTAAATATTAAAAAAAGTTTAAAAGTAAAAAACAAATACAAAATTCAAAGTTCAACTTTTAACCATTCAAAAATCATGCCAGTACAAATACGAGCATATCTTGACGTCACTATGACAACGTAAAACTTCATTTTCGCTGACTTTGCGTAAAATTGCGCAAAATTATATGTAAAGAAAGAGATAAACAACTATTTAAAAGTTGAAAAAAAACACAAAGCAAATTAAAAAAACTGCTGCCATAACTTCAACAAACACGTCAAGACGAAAACAAAGAAAATTCGCTATAAAGTGGAGGCTATAAAGAAAACATGTTAATGAGCGATAAAAAAATTATTGGAATTATTTTTACATAATATATAGCAACAATTTAATGTAAATAAGTGAATTAAAAAAAATACATTATCTTGACTGAGCGAAATACAATAAAGAGAGAGAGAGAGAGCAACAAAATGATCACCTTCTCATAGAAATAAAAAGCCGAAAGCAGTTAATATGAGAAAACGTGGCCAAAAGAGCATAGAGCGCGTATTGAGACCAACATCTTTTTGGCTAATACATTTTTTGGCCTACATTTATTAATACTTAATCCGAAGTATGGGTATGTGTGTGTGAGCAAAGATTTATTATGAGCTTTTGGCTTTTGAGAATTTCTCAAAAAAATTTCTTTTCCATCGCAGTATTAACAATTTGCACAGCTGACTTTCTGGACAGACGTAATATACGAGTACATTTGTGTGCTTTAAGCACCTCTGCTGTGCTGGGCAAGTTGAGTTGTTCTGCTTTTAAATTTAATGGTTAGTTAGTTGCTTAGTAGACGCTGTATGTTGTTGAAAAAAATTAAAATTGCTTTAATTGCTGGGGGAAATATCTATTTTGTGCATTGTAAATTCTTTTGAATCTGCTAAGAACATACAAATATATAAAAGAACACATTAAAAAATGAAATCATAAATAAAAAAATAAAATAAAATAAATTAAAATAAAATAAAATAAAATAAAATAAAATAAAATAAAATAAAATAAAATAAAATAAAATAAAATAAAATAAAATAAAATAAAATAAAATAAAATAAAATAAAATAAAATAACATAAAATTATCTATAATATATGAAATTAAAAAAAAAAATAATTATACGATAAAATAAAATAAATTGAAATAAAAAAATGATATAATAAAATGAAGTGAAATAAAATAAAATAAAATAAAATAAAACAAAATTAAATTAACTGAACTAAAATTAAATTGGTTAAAACACAATAGAAAAAATAATGGTCAAAATATACTTCATTGCTTAAATACACATTTATAATTTCTCAACAATGGAAATATCGATTGTGTGAAAAAGCTACAACAACTACATTGGCCATGACAAATATATTAGCGAGGTCCGAAAGTGTGAAAATGTGAATTTCCTTTCTGTTTTCGTTTTTATTTTTCCATTTAGAAAATTTTACAAAATCCGATCGTGCGATAAGTGTGTGGAATTAACAGAACTGACGTGTACAAAAACAATAAACCCCAACGAAATCCATAAAAACAAGTGTTTGACAAATCAGCAGTAATAATTTTTTATTTTTAGCAATAACGACAAACGAAGAGCGACATAAACAAAAAACAAACAAATGCACATTAATAAAAGAAAACGCAGATAAACAACAAAAGTGTGAAACAAGCGTAAGAGAGCAATGAACAAGTGCAAATAATTTTTTTTAAATAAAAATCAAAGAGATAGAGAGAGTAGAGCGCGATTCGGAGAGATCAAAGCTCAACGGAGAGTGAGTGAGCGTAGTGATAACCCAATAGTGATATTAAGTGTGGGTGGTACGACCAGACCCGCAGTAAACTCGCACACTTCCGCTTTAATACTGGCTGTGTTTTCTATTAACTAAAAACTGAAAACTATAATATTATAAGCCCACACATGGCTGATGAGAACGCCATCGACAGCCCGCGTCCCTTTCGACGCGAGCGTAATCTAAGCAACCGTAACTTCGCCAAACGTCGTTCCGCGCGCCGTATCAGCGTTGAGAGTCACAGTTCAGTAGAGTCTTTTAATCTAAGTGCGGCTGAGAGTGTAAACAACGCGAGTTCAAATGCGAGCTCTGTGCATGAGAGCGCAGCCAGTGCCGCCAGCGCTAGTGGCAGTCACAATCACAGTACGACGAGTAGTAGCGGTAGTAACGGTTCGTATTCGCTTAGTGTCGCTAGCAGTCAATTGCAATATTCATATTCGTTACAATCCGATACGGAAAGTGCATTTCATCGTGCTTCTACGCGCAGAATGGTACCGCCACCATTGCCCATAACCGGGCCACCGCTGGATGATGAAGAGCCTCTTGAGGACGTTGCAGCAGCAACAATAACGATAAACGGTGACGACACACCCACAACACAAATGACAGACCCTGCTTTGCTGGGCGTACGACAGAAAGTGCATCGCTTTGAGACTCTAACAGCTGAGCAACGCATCTTGTTCAAAACCGGACGTCATCAATTGCGCAAACAGCAACAACAAAGCAATACACATACAGAAAATGAAATGGTTGGTGTTACGTCGGCCACGCCTGGCTTGTGGCGCGTCTTCCCGCCCGCAATGCGTCGTTCTACGCCCGATACCGATAGCTCGTTGGCGAGTCGTCAGTCCGCGGCAAGCTCATTTCACACCTCCATCGATGAGGAGCGTTCGGTGGATGATGTTGATGATTTCTCAGATTATGCTGAGGATGAGCATGCGCTTGCGGCGCGTGCCGAAGCGGATGCTGCAGTTGAGTATGTTGTGCCTGAGGAAGCACGCGAACTACGTGAGGATGTAGTGCCTTCGCATTTGCCGGGTTATGTGTCAGCTCCCGCGAGTGAACAACTGGAGACTGGGTCTGTTGCAGAGTTGAATACGGATGATTTTGGTAAAGTGGAGACGGTGAGACGTACTGTGAGTGACGATTATGCATCCACAATGCCGAAGAGTCGTTCGAAAAACTTACAGACAAATGCTGAAGACAGTCCAAAGCAAGCGAGCAAAGATTTTCCAAGGTGAGTGGTACTTATTTAGCAGAAAAATAGGTATTAAATAGTTTTGAGGCTCTCAAAGTTCACACAGTAATGTTAGCTGCAGCTCTGGTGGTACTTGGATGCGGTTAAAAGAAAATCAACTCTTTCTTTAATCCCTCCTAGGACACAGTTCTTAATGAAAGCTCTTTTAAGAGATTTTGAAGAGCCAGAATAGTAAATAGTAGGTTCTAGGACTTCTTTTCTCGCTTGACTGCAGGTCAGATGAAAAGACAAAAAAAAAAATACCGTCCTAACACTGTCCGAATCAGGACTTACATCGCTCTGAAATTTTCTGCTCACAGTTTGAATGCTTGTGAATAGTCAAATTTATTCTTTTACAGGGTTGCCATCTATTACAAATAATAAAATATATTACGAATATTGGGTAGAAATATATTTTGGCAGTATCAACACGATAATATTTTTATAGGGTTGCCAATTATTTATGAATTAAGAATTAATTCAATATTTTAGCCAAGTGAAAATAAAAATTCTGAGCAACAAACGAAATGCACTTGTGAAATTTTTTAATAAGTTATATTACTAAACAGGGTTGCCATTTATTTAAAATAACAAGAATGTTTAAAAATTCTTGTAAAAAAATACAGCGATTTTTAAAGTTAAAATTTTAATTCCTCTAGATTAGATTTTTTAATAATCGTAGAAACATTTTTTTTTATTTTTCTTCACTGAAAATCTCTATAAAATGACAGTTTTGTACCGAAACAAGTGTAATTAGATATTCTTATATATGCCTATGTATATATGTATTAATTATTTTCTGCATACCATAAACTACTTCACCAGTGACCGCAATTAAAAGTTTTGTTTGTCCAAAAACAAAAAAAAATAACAAAAAACAAACAAGTTGCTTCTGTTTCTATGTTGTTTACAGCGACACAAGTGGTTTTGGCGGTTATCGCATTATAGCAATACTTACCTGTTTACTTATGTGCATACATATATATGCACCTATAAAAAGTAATAAAATTCGTAACAAAAGCAATAAAAATAATGCAACACTTTCCACAAAAACCAACACAAAAATATGGTAATGTGAGTGTTTATATACATACAAACATATGTATATATATTTATTATACATATATCATAACCCAATTTATTATGTGTAAAGCAAATTAGAATATCATTTTGGCTAGCCACCTTGAGCGGCTTAAGCGGTGTTAAATATCAGTAGTGAAGTGCTTAACATTTAAGCTTTTTTAAATTATATAAAAATATATTTTGAGTTTTATTTTTATTATTAATACTTTAAAAACTGTTTTGGCAATATTGTTGTTCAACATTTATAAATTTTTTCCAGGTTATTCAACTTCATTTTAATGGGCTTAAGTATAGGAATATATATATATATATATTAATTTTTTAATTTTTTACTTTTACTTTTAAAATACTAATTTGAGTGTTTTTTAATTTTTAATTTTTTTGGTATGAAAATTTTGTTTTATTAGTAGCAGCATATTTAAATTTATTGTTATAAAATTAATATTTTATTTTTAAATATATTTTTAATATCTAAAGTTTTTATAATATAAATGTTAATTTCGTTTATTGTTTTTTATTTGAATTTAAATTCAATTTTTATGGTTTATATATATATTATTTTCAATTTTGTATTGAAGTTTTTTTTTCTTATTTTTTTGATATTTTACTATTTGATTTTTTTTTTAATTTTGCACTAAATTTTAATTTTTTTTATTGAATATATGTTTTTCCTATTTTTTAATATATATTGTAGTTTAAACATTGTAGCTCATTATGCGATTTCCTTTCATTTGGATTATTCATCTTCATTCAAATAAAGTAGAATTTAAATTTTTTTATGTAATTCTATTATTTGTTTTTAGTTTGTAATTAATTTCTTAAGTTTAGCATTATAGTGAATATGTTAATTTTCTCGCATGATATATTTTTTCCATTTTCCATCTGACATTTTTTTTTAAATATTAGGTGCAATGACTTTTTGGAATTTGGTAGCTCAACATTTACATTTTGTTGGTAGTTGGCCTTAAAACTAATGGGTTCAAGTAGCAAAAATGTTTAAGTTAAGTTTTTAATATTTTGAAAAATATTAATTTTCTTCAAATTTTGATCGAATTAATATATTTCACATTTTTTAATGGCTTTGATGTTGTTCCCAAATATTTATTAATTTTTTCTTTAGCTTATTGGTCTTAATTTGAATGAATTTTATTAGAAGAAATATATTTAAAATTTGTATTATACATTTTTTTTATTTTAAATATTTTTTACATTTTTGGCATTTTCTTACTGCATGAGAGTTAATTTATTCGCAAAAAATCGACTTTTTCACTTTTTCTCGTCTGACATTATTATTTTAAAATATTAGAGTTTTCATGAAGTTTTGGATAATATTGTTTTTCTGTTTAATTTTTTTAACTTCATATTTTATTTGTATAACTTTATTCAATTTTTTTTTTAACTATGTGATAAGTGTTATATAAGTGATTATATAATTTATTTATAACTATTTGTTTTCATCTTTTATCTTTTTTATTAACTTATATTTTTTCTTTAACTTTTTTTAATTTTTTTTAAATCATTTTATTTTTATTTGAATTTTTATTCCATAAAACTTTCTTTTGCTTAGTGAATTATTTTGGTTTCCTTTTTCGTTATTTTCTACTTTTAATTTTAACACAACTTTTTTAAAGTTTTTTTCTAACTTTTATTGAGTTAATATTTTTTTCGCTTAAAAGTAAATCGAATTATCGTTTTTTTAATTGAAATCTTAGTTCTTTAATTTATTCTAAATTTTTTAGTTTTCGTCTTTTTCATTTAATACTTTGGTTTTTAGTTTTTTAAATTTATTTGTTTTTACTTTTTTTATTTCTTTTTTAATTTTTTTAATTTTTATTTATATTTTCAATTGTTATTTTAGTTTCGTATAACCATTATTTTCTTATTTTTTTTTTTAATTTTTTTTAGCTCAAATATTTTTTTTCTCACTTTGAAGTGAATATTTTTTTAGTTTTATTCTGCGTCTGTCATTCTTATTTTTAAATGCTTCGCCTTAATGCACGCCCTCTAACTTTTGTTGTTTGAAATTTATGTAAAAAAAAAACTGGTTAGGCATCATTTTGCGTTTTATTATTGTTACACATACTTTTCGTTGTTGTTGAAATTTTTTTTTTTTTTTGTAATTCAATGCTTTTTAGATTTGCTGGTTTGCATATATTTGGAGTTGGTAGTTTTAATATTTTTTGAGAGAAAAATAAACAGAATAATAATATTAATTTAATTAGTAATAACAAAAATATTGATAATAGTAAAAATAATAACAATAACAGTAGTAGTAATAACAATAATAATAATATTAATAATAATAATAATAATAATAATAATAATAATAATAATAATAATAATAATAATAATAATAATAATAATAATAATAATAATAATATAAATAATAATAAAACAAATAATAGTAATAAAATAAATAAAACCAAAAAGAATCAAAAATAAAAAAAAAGTAATAGTAATAATGTTACAATAATGACTATTAAGTACAATAAATTATTAAAAAAAATAATAATATTAGTAACAATAATAAAATAATAAAAATAACAAAATATAAAAAAAAGACATTAAAATATTAATTTTTTATGTAAGTATGTATAATAATTGAGCATTTTTCAATTTTTAAAAGTTATAATTCGTTAAAAACAAGTAAATAATAATAGTTAAAATTTATTAATATTGATATTTAAAAAATAATGAAACATTTGAAGTATTGAAGTGATTTTGGAAAATGTTACCAATTAAAAGCTTTCGAAAATTCAATCAAAAATCTTCTAATACTGAATTTTCATGAAGTAAGTAATTTTGTAACAAAATACTAAAGAAATTGCTAAAAAGCAATGAAGAAGGATTAAAAAAACTGTCTGTATTAAAATGAATTAAAGTTATAAAACTCTAGAATTTTAAAAAGAAACAAAAAATTGGGTTTTACGTGTTTTATTGTAGAAATTCTTTGTGTTGAAAAAATATATATATTAAATTTGTTAAATATTTTTCATATAAATTTTAAGTACTTTAAATTTATTGAAACGAGTGAATACATATTTATTTAAAAAGAAAACTAAAATTAGATCACCCCTTTTTTTGTTCGATTCTCATTTTATGATTAATCGCTCCAATTTGTAATTAATTCATAGTTAAAAAACAGTTGCTTCTTTTGTTAGCTGCTTACTACTTCAAGAAAAAATAGAAAATACTAATAAAAAAATTTAAATTTTTCAACAAAAAAATGAGATATTAAACAAATAAATAAAAATAACTAATAAAAAAGGATGAAAAATATTAAATTAAAATAAAATAAACTAAAAAAAAGTGTACTTTTCTAGTTAAAAGCCGATTGAGAAAACAGTAGTCAAACTTTGCATTTCTCACATCTGCTTGTTAGAACAATTTTTTGTTTTTTTTTTTTCGATGCCGCCAACTGTTTTGCTCAGATAAAAATTTTTTTTCGCAAATTTTGCACTTAACTCATTTTTTTTCCAATAAAATGTACAAAGTTTTTTTGTTGTATTCTTTTTGTATTTTAAATATACAACTGTTTTTCATTTTATTTCACTTTGTATTCCACTGCATACACTGTTGTGTTCAATGCAGCAGGTATAATTCGAATGCACGTGGGCGTATACGTAACCAACTGGCAGCAATGACACTTTGTTCGTACATACATACATATGTATGTACCCACACTTTTAATGGGGCTTAATACTGTGCATAATTAGCACATTAAGCAATACAAATAAATGACTTACTTATATTATTGTTTGCTTGAATTGCGTATGTATAAGTGTGTGCATGTGTCGAGATTCTGCATGAAAAGGAAGACAAAAAATTAGATTTTACTATTATTTTTTTTTATTTTTTTTTGCAATTGCAGTTGAAATACATACTTTAGTGGGAAAAAATATACAAATGTACATAAT